TCTCTTTGGTCAAATGAAAATAAATGAAGGAATAAATAAAATGAAAAAAAAAATTAAAAAAAAAAAAAAAGAACATGCTATCCTGTAACTTCAAGCTAACTTTCCACTCCACTTTCCCTTTATTCCACTTTAAGGTATGGGAATGAAAGAGGAATAGGAAATGTCTGGGAAGAGTACTCACCATTACTGCCAATTGCCTGTAGGCTTTCTTCAGTTCAACATCTGATGCTGTGGCTTCAACCCCCAGCACATGGAAAGGGTTTAGCTCATCCTCAGAAACCCCAGCCATGGTCAAAAGCCGAGCCACTTCCTCTTCAGGCTGGCAGTAGCGTCCACCAGCAATAGGTGCACTCCCTTGCCTATCAGTCCTCTGCTTGACCCAAGGCAATTCTAGCCAACTCCACTGAACTATCCTTACCAGCTGCTGCCATGGCCTGCTATCTCTCAACAGAGTCAAGCAATGATGCAGGGCCGGAGAATCCAGACAAGAGAAGAGCCGGGTGGCCTTATCCCTCCAGCCTAACTGGTCGCCCAGTCCCACCAGAAACCGCCAGCCCAACTGTAGACAGCCCAGAAAGAGGGCCAGAGCCAGAAGCAGCAAAGCACCCAGTAGCCTAAGAAAACGGGTGAAAAGCCCTGCCCCGTTGTAAAATCCCTGGCTTAGAAAGTGGAGCATCACCTGGGCCCAGTTCCCCAGTCGCCCTATCCAGACTCCCACCCAAACTCGAAAAAGGTCCAGATCACTGCCTTTCAGTTGCCTGCATGCATAGATGAGATGGCCACAAGTTTCCACATACTCTCCCACTGCTCAGCACCCAAAGAACTTGCCGTTCACCCACACCAAAATTCTCCAGTCAGGTACACTCCCATGTTCATCAGAACATACCGAGGCCCACTCAGTCACCGTCCACACCATGATCGATGATTTCACAGCCTCCTCCACCCCTGAGTTCCATGACTCCTGAGCTCCTGGCATAATAATGCCCAATTAGAGATCACTCCCACCATCATCACTTACTCC